ATTGTGATGGAGGTCATTCACCTGTGCATTATGCTGGAAGTCGCTCGCCTGTGCATTCTGTTGGTGGTCACTCGCCTATATGCTCTGTGGTGACAGTAGTGTCTGTAGTGACTGTTGGTATACTGAGCTGAGAGTTTATCTGCATCTAACAGATGCAGATGCAGAAACAAAGAATGTGAAATGCAGGAAAACTCAGGCCCCATCAGAGTCATGGGGCAGTATTTTGTACAGGGTGAAGCCCAGGCAAGGTTGGTTTGTTCACTTGCCCGGGTGGAACCATTTGTGCTATGACTGTTTATTCAGTAATTAAAGGTGCCGTGCTAGTTTCACACTGCAGTAGGATTCAGGAGAGAAACTGCGTATTGATGACAGGTGCAGCAAGACTTTTGGGGGGGGAGTGTGGGGGCAGTAGGCATGTGGAACCCTGGAAAAGCTATGCTTTTTTCTGTCTTTAGGGGGCAGTGTGTGGCTCAGTGAGCTGGGTCTCTGTACCTTTGATCAGCAGGTTGCTGGTATGAGCCTGGTATGTACCTGGTATGAGCCTTGGGAGAATAGTCACATGTCTGCTGGGTCCTTAGCCCACTGAAGTGCTCCCGGGGCACTCCATGAATGACCAGACCCTCTGTGTGTTTGTGTGAGTGTGTGTGTATGTGTGTGTCTATGTGTGCATGTGTGTGTCTGTGTGTGTGTGTGTGTATGTGTGTTTGTGTGCCAAAAGAGAGTGCCGAGGCTAAGATGGCATATGTGAAAAGAAGCATTCAAATGAACCTGTACTCGAGCAAATGGCACTAAAGGCATAATTTCCTGTCGTTTCCCGCAGGCCCTAGGATAGCGCCAAACCAACACGTGCTGGGATGTCATTCCGAAGTACTGGTGGGGACCTTGTCCCCCAGGATGTGGCACAGGTGGTGGCCCAGGTGAAACAGGCGAACCGAAGCAGGAAGCCACGTATTGGCTCCATCATCCGGGCCTTCAGCTGGATCAAGGGCAAAAGGAAGAGGAGGAAGAAGAAGAAGAGCAGTGTGCAGCACCGCAGCGGGGGTCTGGCTGAAGGTCACCAGCAAGGTCATGACCTTTCCAAATGTACAAGTCTGCACTTTCATTTCAGCTTCATGCCCTGCCGGTGTGCATTTCCGTGACTTGCTAGCAGTCCTGCTTGGTTTAGAGTGTTTGGCCTGCATGCTTATTAACGGTTTGGGCTGCGGCGAAAAACTGGTATGTAGTTTGTGCAAAGTGATGCAGAGTTTGAAGGTGAAATGTTACCACACTCTGCACCCACCTTCCTCCTAAACTGAGCCCCGGCTTCTCCGTCTGATCTGCTATGGTACCTGATCACTTGCTGGAGGGCAGAAGGGGCTACACTGCGCCAGCAAGCTACCCTGACTAGCCCAGTGCTCTTTGAACGTCACATAGGGTCAGCCTGTGCAGCAGCCCCATTCCAGCTGCAAATGGCTAAGTGACTCTGTGTTTTCAGTCAGACATCCTTGCCTTTGCACCCTCTGTGTCAGGTTAGGAAAGTGCTCTCAAGGTCATGGTGAAGAGTCCCGTAGATGGGCAGAGACTGTGCTCTTTATAACAGGAAGTTAAGGAGAGAAAGAATGGGGTGCTGTCTGAGAGATACCTCTGACGGCCCCATGATGTCAGGTAGCCAGCAGGACACCACAGCTCTCCATCATTAGACCGTCTCGCTCTTGCCCAGGCTGTAGTGTGGTTTAGATACAGTAGAATCAGAAGCCTGTTCAGTGTCATATTCATAGTCTCAGATGCAGAGCCAAATCACACAGGCCAAGTACAGATTGTTTCTGAGACCTTGTCCACACGTACAAGGGTCTTTTTATAATTGGTGTTTCTCCTCCTCTGTTATTAAAAAGATCCCATCCATACAAACACTGTTTAAAAAAAAAAATCTCCATCTACATGAAAATGCGAAAAAACTCACTTAATGTAAACAGTGAATGGCGTACATTCTGACGTCAAACAAAGTAGATAATGGTGCAAAATCTGACGTTACAAGCCAAAAACTCTGTCTATACATCAACACTGAAAACAGAATCTCTGAAAATCACATAGAAAAAGCTAAGTTTTAAAAAATACTCATGCATGTGTGGACAAGGCCTGAGCTCTGAAAAATCTGCAGATGTAGTATTTGGTGAGGTGGGGGCCCTGGAAGCATGGGAACAAGTTTTACAGTAGTTACCAAGGCCCAATCATCTCCCGGTTTCAGCTGACAGTATGGGTTGGATCTTAAATATGTTTTCCATCAGTTCTTTGAATATTTAAGTTTATAACTGCTAAAGTCACTCCATGAAGTGTGCCATGGGATGTGTGAGTACAGGCAAAGCCTTGGGTCTGTGTGTCTTGAACCCTGGAGGAAGTCCAGTCCACTTTTCCTCTATGCATCACAGATAACAGGAAAGCAGTAACTTCAGCAACAATGGCCCTCTTCCTGTCTTCAACCAGACAATAGTATGGCATCACACATAATGAGATTTTTAACTACTCAGTTAATGTGTATTATCAGAGCCGTTTACTTTTCAAATATTACATTATGAGATCCATGTATTATGCTAAAAGGGCACCTCAAGGGCTTTCATGTGACCAGGGTTACAGGTAAAGTGCAGTGCAGCTCATTGTGACAGTTAAGCCTAAGCCTAAGCCTAAGCCTAAACCTAAGCCTAAGCATCACTCCACACCTCCCAAGCATGTGGCTCCTAACTGAGACACACTGCCAGTTGGGGTAGAGATGTGACCTAAAACTGCTCTGGTTAGCTACCCGCATCCTGAAACTTTGCATGTCTTAGTCTCAGTTCTAAATACAGGACAGAAAAGAGTGGAGGAGCAAGCAGTGATACAGCATCCCACCCCCTGATTAGGTCACACTATGCACCTGCCCGGTGCTTCGGTCTGGGAGCAGAATCACAGCCTCGTTGAATGGATGGCCTGGTTCTGTGGCCTGCATGTAGCAAAGCTCCCAAAGGCCTGCAGGGAGCTTCATGCTGCCTCCATAAGGGACCATCAGCAGAAAGATTTTCCTTTACTGGCGTTCATGTGGGGTTTTACGTCAAAACACTAACAGAAGGACCAAAGCAGAGGATGTCAGTGACACCTCAGAACACCTTCTGTCAGCAGCAAAGAATGAGTCTCATGCTCGACTTTGTTTTCCTTATAACTAGGCATGTTGAACATTCCAACAATACTGTATCTGTTTAGGGTAAATTTCACAGCTGTAAAGCCCTTCCAGTTACATATTGAAGTTCTTTGCTAAGACTTTTCAGAGAGACCTTCCCCTTCTGTAATGTTTACACAGATGATGTTTGAGTTGTCTTTAGTCTGTGTTTGTTTCACTGAGCACAAATTCAAGCTTTGCTGTGGGAAAGCTGTTCATCACAGATGTTCCCTGTGAGACCAGAGCACCCAGGCTGCAGTGATACTGAGTGGAATAAATGGCTGACGGAATAGTGATGTTTCAGTTTCTGTTGTTCTGTGGAATACAAGAGTGGCTACTTGTTTCCAGATTTTCAGAAGGAAGCATGTGAATTAGTGTGAACTGGGATCATTGTGTGTCTGTCGGAAGATCTAGCACACTACTCTTTAGCCCTCGCACAGAAGTGGTTATAGTTATGCAAAAACTATGTCTGAGTTTCCTTTCCAGAGGGTTATGGAAACAGTGAGTACTGTGAGTTAGGTCATATGACCAGGGCATGTGCAGACGTGAGCTTCTGCAGGCAAGGTGTGCCGAGGCTAAGGTGCCAGGTCTGGGCATGTTCTTGCTCGGGTTGTGATCAGAAAGGCATTCAGATGCTTTGGTCCTGTTCTTCACCAGTGGGATGGTGCTACCTTCCTGAAGCTACAACTTGGGGGTGTCCCGCTGGAGATATGAAATGAGTTACATGTGGCTTGTATGCATGAATAAATAATAAATATTTCCAATGAAAGCCAGTTGTTAATATTCCCATTTCAAAGTTTGAGTACCACTCAGTTGTTTATCAGTTGATTTCATAGCTGCCTAGTCTGGGTGGAATTTCATTGGATAGAACCGCAGTCACAGGCTGAGCCAGGAGTAAATGTGCTCTGCACAGCTGGTAGACCGCATGTGCCTTCCAAATAGCCTTGGCAGGAATTTCAGTCTTGCTTGTTCAGGTATTCTGAGGATCCTTGGGTTTAGAACAGTGAGGCTTCCAAGCCCAAGTTGTGTGCTGTCACTCACCCTGTTAACCGATAACCAGATTACATCCGTGGGGACAAGCAGCAGTGGGGAATGATGTGGTAGGTAACGTGTTTGGAATATACTGCTGCAATCATCCGTGTACCAGTCTTCCCTCTTTCTTTGGTACTTGAAGCCTCGTTTCTCATTTCTTTACTTCAGAGTTGTTATTTGCCCATGTTTCATAAAGGTGAAATGTCACCAAATACCAGTTCAATCCTTATGTCCCACTGCCTCGAGCCTGGAGTAGAATATGAACAGAGAAGAACACCAGTGCTGCAGGGCTAGGAGTGAAAGTGACACTGGCTGTTGGAATTTCTGTGGTTTCCAACAAGAAATAGTTGTGGGGCATGTCAAATACACCGACAGGTATAGAGAGAAAGGTTCTGGGTAATGTTACGGGAGCCAGCCGGACTGCTCATTATGGAGAAATGGACAGGACTGCCAGGGACTTTGGATCCCCATGGAGTCATTGACAGCCAAGATGAAGACCAGCTTTGGGAGCCGTACTTCCCCTGTTCCATGCTGACTCTGGAGGTCTGTTAAAGGCATAGGCTTAGGTGAGATTACACAGGTCGCATAGCAAGGATATGCCCTGTATTCTGGTGATAAATTGCCAGGAGTTTGACACCTGGAGTTTAATGGACAATCCAGCACCAGCTGAAGTGCTGTGTGGGTGCGCTGTGTGTCCGTGTGATTTGCATGCTGGGCGTGTCTCTCACTGCAGCCCTGACCCGGCTAGCCCGCGGCCTTCTTGTGCGTGCTGACGTGTGTGTTTGTGTTCGCGCATGTCTTCCTGTAATTCCCCGCCTGACTCGGAGCCGCTGCAACACGTTCCTTCATATCCTATGTTTGTGCCAGGTGCAATTCAACGACTTATCTCCTGGGGGTGAGGAGGACACTGAGAGAAGGCAGCTCATGGACAAAATCCCTCTCCCCACCCAACCTGTCTCCAAAATTTGAAACATTCCATCATTCCTAGCTCTTCTGTGGATCATTTGAGACTCCACTGGTTTGTGTGTGTGTGTATGAAAAGAGGAAGTGTTTATAAGCATCTGCGTGTGACTGGTAGACACGTAAAGGCACGTTATGAGACTGGAGGATTTTCCTTGTTCTGTCAGAATGTGGTGACAGACGATTTTTATGAGAACAATGGAGGCTGTTTGTGAACACAAGCAGCTCACCATTACGTTTTCATTGGGAGTCGCCGTCTGGGGCTTGAGTTGAGAGCTATTACTCATTTCTACAGAGTTCACAGAGCTTGCTTTGCAGCATCACAGTGATGCTAATGATGAAGGTGGTCATGATGGTGTTAGTAGTCTATATGGTTGTTAGTTGATGGCGTTATGTGATAGACTGTATACCTGCACAGCCTTACATTTATCACCATTCCATATTTAGTCATGTATCAAAGCTGGCCTTTTAGCACATTAATTATGGCAGAACGTGTTCCTCCAGTGGGCTGCACCTGCCAGCCTTAGAGCAAAGCTCCAGCCCTTCAGCCGCTCTGCTACCTTCATTCCTTTTCTGTCACTGACATTTATAGTTGTTGCGGGTTAAGCTTCACAGGAATCTTTGGCATGTACCCTGTGCTGCCTACATGGCTGCTAGGGATTCCAGTATGGATCCATTGCTAGGCTGGGTTTGATCAGTACAGACTACAGGCTAAGATACAGAGGGATGTCTAATCCCTGTCTGTAGTTCTCAGGTACATAGCAAACCAATGTGTGCAACAACTTTATACCACAGGGTGAGCGCGCACACACACACACACACACACACACACACACACAGAGGTTTGTAATTATATCTTTGTGGGGACTCTCCATTCATTTCTTTGGGGAAAACCCTAATCCCAACA